GCTGTGGATAGGGCTGCCCACCGCTCTGGGCAAGTGTGCTCACTGTTCACTAGTGTATATGTGGTTTTTTACTGCATGGATGGGTTAGGTTGCAGAGGTGAAGTTTCACCATTGTGGGACTAATAAGAATATCTTAATCTTAAAAAGTCTATGCTGCTGTCAATCACTGTGCAGTGAAATGCCCACACGGTCCTGATAGGACAGAAAAGTTTTTCCTACATTAAGGTTGATTGGGATTGTTGTTTAGGGTCACATATTTATACATCTTTAAGAACACTGATATGGTTTTAATATTTTGACAGCCCCTTTAACGAACCACATCTTCATCTGAACCTCCCGTCCATGACACCACCTCGTCCATACGCAGACACACAGCTCCCCCTCCTTCCCTATGCAGTCCGTGGTTTGTGCGGCAGTTATCAGGAACTAAGGCACTCTTCAATCAATATTTACCCAACAAACAGAGGGATTTAGAGGGGGGGTAGTTTAGAGGGACCAAGCACACACACGCACAGCAGGGTGAACGAATTCTGGGTGAAGTGCTGGGGCCACTAGTCTCAACGCTCCTGCTGTGCTTTCTCTCCACCCTAACCCTCCCCCAGCCACTCAGCTTGTGTTTCTCAGTGGAGGGGCGATATAATATCCCTCTTTTCATAAGGTGGCCTCTGCGTCCTCTCATCACTGGCAGCCATGAAGCAGAGAGCGCCACACTGCGAGATCACACAGGAGCATAGGCGCTGGTGGCCCATTCCTGCATCGATGCACACTTAAACAAAAGCTTTATTTAGATAGTCACTGGTAATGATCATTTGCCTCTTCTGATAAGTTTTTATTCTGTGAACAAAAGAAACGCATTAGTAGTCTCTCAGGATTTATTGTGAATTTGACTTGATAATTTCAGGAATTTGTAGGGTCTGCCAGTGTTATTAATGATAGGCCACGAGCTATATATATTGTAACTGAATGAGAGACTGTACAATATCCTATTTGGTAATTGCCCTCCTAAATGCACTTGTAGCAGAACATTCTCAAGCACATGAGTCAATTCTGGTGGTTTTGAAGGGAACCTTACTTGAGTGGTACTTCTGAGAAGTCTTTAGATGCAATCTGTGACCCGTCAGGTTTTTTACTCTCATTTAATCTTTGCAAACGTTTTGAAATGCTCTTTTAATGAATTACAGAATTACAGAATTTTTAAGAAAAGATCATGCAGTGTGTCTGTATACACATTAAAAAAAATGACCAAATGGCAATTAATGGAAAAATGACATTGATGACATTTCCTGTGCAGCTACTATGCTGTTTTGTACTACTGCAATCTGCAAGTAGCCCCAAAAAGCACTGTTGTGCTGTTACCAAAACAAAATAAGGAATGCAAAATATAATACACATCCATTCACACTGTTGGACTACATTTAAAGTCAGAACAACAGTGGATCAAGTGACTACCAACATGGTCACTGGTCCCTGTTAAGGGCAATTAACCATGACTCTCTCTCTGAGGGTCTTGATAGTGACCTGTTTAAGCTGTGCTTTGTGTATTTTTCTTTTCAATTTGACCGAATCAGGAGTCATAAAGAGGACGTATGAAATATTGATGTGGAATTGTCTGCTGCACGATTCAGCTGTGTTTACTGTGAGGCAGAGGCTTATCCTACACAATGGCTATAACAAAAGCACAACAGCTGATCCGTGTGAGGCGAGGAGGTGACAAAACAGTTAAAGCATGCTGCTGGCTATGGGCAAGCAGTCAGCAGATGCAGACAAAAGGGTTTGTGACAAGAATAACTCTCTCTCTCCCTCTCTCTCTCTCTCTCTCTTTTCTTTCCCTCCATTTCCCTCTCCATCTCTCTCTCCTGCTCTCTCTCTCCCTCTCCCCCCCTTTTTTTTAAGGCGGGCAGTCAAGAGGATCCAAAATACCAATACCCTTTTCTCCTTGACATTGTCTTCTCTTCTGCAGTCAGCATTTTACTGCCCTTTTATAGTAAAAACAAAAAAAAAAGAAAAGCAGTAGAATTTCTCACTAGAACATTCTTAGCAATTCAGCGCTTTATATTTAGTGACTATGCAAAAGAGTTTAGCTAACTCCTTTAGCTAAATTTTAAGATACAGATAAGTTAATAGCAAGGCAATTTACAACTCTATTACACTGGATGAGGCTTGGCAACACACACACATTTTCTAAGCGCTTGGGCTTACAGTACAGCAATTAGCCTATTGTTTTCTTGTATAAAAGTAAGAAAAAAACTATTATTCACTACAGTCATGTTAATCTGAACATCCAATTGAATTGTCTTATAATACTTCTGGGAGATCCAGTCATGATATCACTTTTGTCAATCAAGATATTCTCTCTTCTCTATTAATAATTGCATAATTTACATGAAGTACAGACTAATCTCTCACTACAGCAACTATTTTTTTGCTGTCGCTTATATGACTTGGATGGCTAGAAAATACTTAGAACAGATCCAATCACTTACAAGAGTGTTTTTAATGAAGGGGAAAGTGTCATAAATAATAATGTGAGTAAAGAAAATACTGAAAATAGGACTGAAAACAGTGATAAATGGCAAATGCACTATTTAGAGACAAATTTGCCGTAAAGGTTTATACACCCACAAAACATAGCATTCTAAAAAGATTCCCAACAAGAGTACAAAGAAATTTAAGAAAGACTCTTCTCTCTCTCTGTCTCTCTATTTCTATCCATTTCAAGATTGTTCTGTTGTTTATCCTAAAGCTTTTAGTAATGAGGAGCTTTAAAAACAAAGAGGATGGGGTAGGTTGTCAGTTGGGTTGTAGGGGGTGCTTGGGTGGTGGGATATCTATAACCTTTGTAATCCCACTCCCTATCTTTTCCTTCTCTCTCTCTCTCTCTCTCTGCCTCCCCCCCTCTATTCCATGTGACATTCATTCATCAGCCAAGTGCGTTTGGCAAGCCCTTCGCCTACAAGCGCCGTCCCAGTGACCACTAACCTTGGTATGTCCTGACACTCATGATGAGTATCTGCAGGACACAGAAGGCAAGCAGGCTGCTATGTCAGGCCTTTATTGTGTACCGCCGAGGCTAGGGACAGTCAGCATAATCAAACAAATGACCCCTGAAGGCTGTGCCCCTTGGGAAGGGAGAAGGAGAAGGAGACAGAGCCCGAGCCAAAAGCACTTGGGCAGGTTCCCCCCTCCCCCTCCACTCTATGATCTTGCCCCAGGAGAAGGAGTAGGGAGGAAGGGAAAAAATATTGTACTGCACTGTACAAAAATGTTGCCCAATTGAGAGAGTTTGAATACAAGGATTACAAGAGAAGCGTGTTGTACATGTAACTGTATAAACACATTCAGCCCATCCGCAACGTACGACCTGTTACCTTTTTTATCTGATTTCTTCAATCAGATATTTATAGGTGCACTGTAAGTTAATGCTGCATCACCAGAAGTCAGGCAGTTGTTATGGTGGTGAAGCACCCAAAGCTGACCTACCAGCCAAGGCCTTCTAAAAGGGTATGCCTTTGATGACAGTATATTTAACACACTTAATGGAAAAAGAGGGCTGTGAATGGTTAGGGTCACATGGATGGCATGCTTTGTCCAGACAACTGCTCACCTGGCAGGATCTTTGAGGAGTGCTAGTCAGGCCATGATTGATGGGGCTGATGCTAAGCTAGGAGCTGACACTGCTCCACATGAGTGGGTCACATTGATAAGCCCAACCACTGGACTTTAACCCTGCAGAGCAGGACAAATACAGCATGGTGTCATACACTTTTAGCAGTATTCGAATGCCAGAGTGAATTGAGCAATTGTGTTTACCAGTCAGAAGAGTGCTGGGATATAGTTTTTGTCCATTATTCCTAAAAAATGTGAATTGTATGAACTGGTGGATTTTCACTTTAATTAAAGGCAGGGTTATATTTGGGCCTTATTTATCAAAGATGGGGTATGAAGGGTGCTAAACAGGAGTTTGTGAATTGTCAGTGCCCAAAGCCCAAAAAACTGATATGGGTATGGCCTTCTTGGGTGAAAAAAAGGCCAGGCACTTATTTTTATAGTAAATAATCAAATTGAAATCACAGTTGCAATAACTGTCTAAAAATTGCAATTAGATGTTTTCCCCAAATTATTCAACTGTAAGCTCTGAGCAGAGGATGTCTTCTGATTATGGAGCACAGAATTAGTATAGAGGGACCCTCTGCACTGCCTGGCATGAAGGGATTAGATAACTTTCTTTAATAAATAACGTATACTTTTGTGATACAAGTTCATTACAATATAAATAGACACTGAATCTAGGCTGCTAATAAGCAAGATAGCTGAAAATGACAGTGGCATGGAAAAATATCTTGAGATGGCCTGAGGAAGAAATTTTTAGAGGATCCACGACTCAGAAATGAACTCACTCACTTCTGGGTGGCATCAGATAATAAACTTTTAGTCAAAGGAGATGCGGTTGAATTGTTCATAAGGATTTTTTAAGCAATAAATGACATATTAGAAAAGCTTAAGAGATAAACTAGTGATCATTATTTCAAAATCTGCAAGAGTTCATATATATATATATATATATATATATATATATATATATATATATATATATATATATATATATATATGTGTGTGTATGTATACTTTCTATGGGCTTGTTAATGCATATGTTATGTATTTATGATTAATAATTAATTACCTCCTTTTTAGTGGGAGGTGTAGTAAATATTCAAATGAGTGTTCAGGTCAGCCCTAGCAGAGTGTGCTTCAGTTAGTGAAACAAAGAGGAATTAGCGTAGTGAAGCTGTTGGGAGATTTCACTGGGTCCCAGCAGTCTTGGCAGAGCAGTTCTGCCCCACTCAGGCGCTGCCAGGGAGGCTTTAGGCTCGGCAAGCGGCTACCTCTCTTGTCTTGTTCAACCTATACTGCAGCCCATTTTGCTTTTTTTGGTTAATCAGAGACCTGAGATTGAAACATAATACATTTATTAATGTCATTGTCTCCTTGTGTATCAGCAGGTTCCGGAGCGATTCCTGGAAGTGGCGCAGATCACGTTACGGGAGTTTTTCAATGCCATTGTGGCAGGCAAAGATGTTGATCCTTCCTGGAAGAAGGCCATATACAAGGTCATCTGCAAGCTGGACAGTGAGGTCCCAGAGATTTTCAAATCTCCCAATTGTCTGCAGGAGCTTCTGCATGAGTAGTAGTTGGTATTGCTTGCCACTTTACCATCCCCTTCCTCCCCAGGATCTGTATGAAGAATAAGGTAGCATTTCTATTTTGAAGCCCCAGCTACTGTTAGCTGTTCATTTTTTTGTGGTTTTTTTTTCTTTTTTGAGAAAAAAAAAGTCTATAAACTCTGATTGTTTTAACTGTGTTTAATCTTTACTCAGCCCTTTCCCTTTGCCTTTAAATGGGCATTATTATGTTTACCACAAGATGGTAAGTAATGAAACCCCAGAATTCTCTCTTTTATTTTTTATTTTTTGGTCAATTTGTTGAGGGTTTGTTTCATGCCAGGATGTTTGCAATGTGTGATTACAGTTTCTGAATAAGACTTAAATTTTTAGCTTGTATAGATGTAATTATTATTTATGATTAATATAATTATTACCATTAATGTTATTAATGCTTGCAAAAAAAGACCCGTGGTATTCTTGTTTCTCATGACAATGCTACATAAAATAAATTATTGTTTGAACAAAAAGATTAAGGGGCTATACCTTTTCTAGTAACATATATTTTTCAGTCTACCCGTTCTTCAGTGTTGGCTGAGGTCCAATGTTCTTGTGTTTTGTGTCCACTCTGATAGCACTGGCTCTAGGGAGGGAGGCCTACTCATAGGCTTTTTCCTTGACAGAACAGCCTCTCCTGTAACTAAGCAACATGGCTATTTCATACTGGGGCAAGCCAGTTCGGCACAAAAAAGATGGACGCCTTCCCACTGAGAAACCATTTTTGCTCATAAAAAGCATGTTGTCACAGTTGCTCACATTAACGCACACACAGAAACACACAATGCTCATGCATAAACTGATACAGAAGCACAAATACACACAAAGTCTAACACACTTTAAGGCCCATTATTACTGATGTTATCAACCTGCTACAGGAAAAAAAACTGAACTTGCTCTTTATTTTCTAATCATTCACTGAACATATTTTTTTGGTGAATTTAACGCACATGCTACTTTTTAGCATTTACAAGCATCAGATTTTTACGTATAAAGATATGGGAAGGGGTTTGGTCATTTACAGGCAATTGCTTACTCTGACTGAAATATAGGGGTGCATTTCAAACATATAAAACAGGCCATGTCCACAGTAGCATCAATTAAAAAAGCTACAAGAAGGTGCAAAAGAATTCCTTGTATATTTATGTATTCTGTGTATAATTGTATTTATATTGTTGACACGGTGAAAGTTTGGGTATCAAATATTTATAAAACTCTGGAGAGGAGGGTTCTCTTCTTGTTCTTCTTAAAATGACCATTCAAGAAAAGAGGGCCTTAATTCTAGCACATCAGTTTCTAGATCATAATAAAGGATGGCTCAAGAGGGCAAACGTCCAGACATGTGATCTGCCCTGGAAACCTTTGCATTGGGCAAATCCTGCTGATGAACTGAAACACAGGCATGCAGTTATTGTCATCACAAAGCCTTAAAACCTGCTGACTTCTAGATGAATGAGCACAAAAGAGGGCGAAGTGTTGTCATTCTGCTGCCAGACCTGGCACCATCCGCAGTCACTGGACACACACACAATGAGTGTAACAAAGTGCCAAGCTTTTCACTATGCATTGTGGAGGTGGAAAAAAAGTTCAAAACTGATAAAACTGTATAGCCCTCTATCAAAGTTTTGGCTGGTCCACATTGATTCATGGTCTCTTTTGCTTGTGCTGGCCTTTTACCTGTCACGGGCAAAGCAAACTTGTAAATTGTGATATTAAATAAAAATTTGACACCACCATACATGCACATACATACACACACTTGTATACACACATTTAAAAACAAAGCAAACAATAAACATGTAAATTGTGATATCAAATAAGAATTTGACACCACCATACATGCACACACATACACACACACATGTATACACACTTTTTAAAGCAATTTAAAAAACAGCAGTGCATGTTAAGTCCCTTTTTAATACATTGTGCCGTTATAACCCACTGTAGATACACTGAATCTTGTTTGATGACTGCCCTAAAGTGTGTTACTGACCCAACATGCTAATCATATAGCAAGTAGCAAAATCATCAGGAAATGCTTAAGTGTAATGTCTCACATAAGACTATTATTCCCACAAAAAATTAGTCTTGCATTTACTGAAAAAAATAACCATTTGCTGTCAGTGCCTAGAACTGTTAACACCAGCAAATGTTTTTTTTCGTAAAAGAAAAAATATATCAAAAGAATTCTGTATATGCCTTGTTGTATGTATATTGAAATGAGGAAAACGGTCAACAGCCTTCTTTTTAAAAGACATGCTCTTATTGCTTAGATAGTAAATAAGTGAATCTTTCATAAAATTGATGTATTTTGTTAAAGTAGGAAGATGAGAGCTTTTTTACCCTTTCATTTACTTAACTGTATGATTTTTATTGAAGCACCATGCAGAAGCTCTCAGTGCATCAGGAAAGTTTCTGGTTCTAGGTCATTAAAGTAGCACCAAAGCAATACTGCATCATGTGTGTGTGTGTAGTGTGTGGGTGGGTGTGTGTGTGTGTGTGTGCCCATGTGCACATAACTATATAGGCCCTATATAGTTTTTTTTAAATGACTATATACGTTTTTTAAATTTTTTTTTTTCACTGTAGACCAACAGTTTTTCACTGTTTAAGTTTTTACACTGGCATCATAGCATCATCATAGTTTTTGGAGTAATTTCTGCTACTGGAAGTGTCTGGGTTTTGATTGTGGGTTTGACATTCATGCATTCCTGCTATATTCCTGCTGTGTTTTAATGCATAAACATGCTCAATTAAAACATTTGCTTTTTCACTCTGATCTTTTTCACTTGGTCCAGCGAATTAGCTCTGCGGCCACAGCTAATTGTCAAGTTTATCTTGGGTTTGTTGCACTTTAACACCCAACTTCATTTTCATCAGAAGTCACAGATATATAACTGGAAACTGCTTTTAACAACAAAGAAAAAATAGATAGATAGAGAGAGAGAGAGAGAGAGAGAGAGAGAGAGAGAGAGAGAGAGAGAGAGCTGAAAATGAAAGATTTATGCATAGATTTGTTGCTATATTTATGAAATATTCCATTTCCAAAAGGGGTTGTAAACGTGTTTTGACATTTATGTAAATATAATACCACTGCCTTTCTATTATTTAGCAATATAATGTAAATAGTATTGTTACACTTTTTGTATGACAGACTTCTTCAATTCTAGTACAATATTTAAAGTTCATGTCCATTTTCTTTAATGTATTTTGAAAGATGCTCATGACTCTATTTGATATGTATACATAAACAGTCATGTTTACATTGTGGATTTTGCTGTCAGTTTTCCATTCAGAATTTTGGTAATTTATTGTTTTAATTTATCATAACTTATTTGGTGTACAATTCGTGAAGATGTACTTCAATATTATTTGGTAGAATTCAAAAACACAACAATGTCCTCTTCCAATTCCACAGAGGCAAAAAGTTATTGAAGTGTAAGTAGCCATTGTGATTTAATAAACAGTAGTTGCTTGAGGAACTTGATTTACTTTGTTTGGGTTGGAACGTGAAAAACGTTTGTGTTAGAGGTTTTTTCTTCTTCTTCTTTTTTTTTTTTTTAATTCTAACTGCTCGATCTCCTTTGCTTTGTACCCCGAACACAACACAGTAGTCAAATTGCCTTGTGTGCCTTCCATCTCCTTGGAACTGAATGTACGTGCAGTATATATGCAAGCTTGTGCAAAATAAAAACAAAGTTCTAGATGTGGCCTCTTTTGTGATCATTCAGAAGGTACCACACCAATTTTATATTGGCAGGGGCTCTTGAATCTCCTATAAAGAGAATGGCTGATGGTGTGTATAATATGTACTTAGAGTTCTTGTTTTCTTAATTCTACAACGTTCATCATTTTTTCAAACTCTCCTCATATAAATAGGATCCTGAAATTAAAAAAAGCAACTCAATAAATATCATCACCATTGTTCTCACTCAAATTGTCCAGATCAAGGGACTGCAGTAGAGGTTTTCTTTTATTGTTCCATAATATAATAGAATTAATACTGAAACGAGAGAAAGATTAATTCTGCCTAATAAACATAACAGTGTTTGGTCACATTTGCGAGCTAAAATGTATGCTCGGCAAAAGTGGGAGAAAAGAGTGGTGTGTGACTATTGTGGCAGCACGGTGCTGAGAGAAGTGAGGCAGCCACCGCTATAATTTATAGGCTGATACAAAGAGGCACTTTAGCTGCCCAAGCGCTCCAGCGACTCCACTGAACAGGAGGTAGGGTCACTCCCCCTTCTGCACCATAATGACAAGCGGAACTGTGCACCGCTCCCCTTCTGTTTGATTTCATCAGCGCGGCTTTGAAAGGCACATCTTAACAGCACAACAATAAAACAGCTGTGTTTGTGTTGGCCCGTTCATTGTTGAAAATTTTACCACCTCCCCCTCTCCTTTTTCCCTCCCTAAAGAGATAACACAAGAATAATGTTGCTCCCATGTTCTTACCGGTAAAAAAGGAGAGAAAAATCACTGTTATTAATTGCACTCAAAGCTGTGGGAATAAAGGCAAAGGCTGTGTGAAACATGTACGCCTTTGCAATAAAATATTAGATGTCTTTCAATAAGTCAAATGAATAAATTTGACAATGATGCTGTCTTGTTGTTCTAAACTGAACGCATTTTCAGATTGTTATATTGTGGGAAACTGATTTGTCCAAACTGAAATCTCACCTTGAATTGCTTTGCAGTACACAGACGGCAGCCTGTCACTACTCATGGCAAATCTGGGCCTTTTCTTTTTGATAATTATTTAAGGCCCAACTCAAGCATGTGTGACAGTGACTTTGTGAGAAGACAGTGACCTCATCGTTCCTCCTGGCATCATAGTCTATTACAGATGCTCCTACAGCTGTTTAGATTTAAATGCCACTGCTGCAGACAGAGGATAAAGCACCACAACCAAATCCTAGAGGAAAAAGCATTGCACAGACATGGCTAAATGTGCCGAATTGTTTCTTGGTGGTTGTTTCCTGTCACCTGTTATTTTTACCTCCTCTTTGGAATGAAGACAGAACCTCTGGGGCCACCTGAGTCCCCCTACTCCCTCCCCCTGAGCTTTAAGCAGACAGGCTCCTTGCAGTTGGGCTGAAGCAGCATCTTTGCATTACATGAACAGTCTGCTTCATAATCAAATACCATCTGTCGCTACATCTGAACCTGTTTTTAACATCTGTGCTTTCTGGTCTTAACAAAGCTTTAAAAACCAATTCACAACTTTCACAGTTCACTGGGCTAGATGTGTATATTTACTGCCTTTAATACATCTTTGTGCTACTTTTACGAGATGCCCTGCTCTCTTGTGACTAAGAGGTTGTTAGGGGAGCTGCTGGTGGGATGATATTGCCTTGCTCAAGTACCGATTGTCCTGCCATGAGTAGCCAAGTGCAGAGCGCCACTGCACACTGTGGCACAGAGGAGGGCATGAGAGAGAGAGCGAGAAAGAGAGAGCGCAAATGGGGGAAATGTTCAAAGCGAGTGAACACTTTTTGGCAAAAAACAGTTTTGTCCATTCTGCCTCCGATGAGGAGTCTCGAAGTTGATCATGCTTGAAGTCCTATTACTGAAAATGACATTGCAGACTGAATGGCAACCAGGGGGAGAATCAGTAGAATGGTGGTGGTGAAGCTGAAATGCATTGTGGGAGAATGGGGATGTGAAAGGTCTCTCAAAGGATGGATTCGGCAGCCACCTCACAAATGGCGAGGGCTCTGGCAAGTGTGTTCTGCCTCAACTTCAGGCCTATTCATAGGCAGATGTCAGTGGCTCAGGCTCCAAAAACATGATGTTGCATTTTATACAGGGACCAAAGGAGCCAAATAGGGCAAGGGCCAAAAAAAGTCCATATGATCACTATATTAAAGTCAACCTTTTTCCTTGTTACGTCATATGAAGCACATCATATTATTTTTGCTTTTCCAAAATCTTTGATTGAAATGAAATGCCTGCCTCAAAAACATCTTCTGATTTTTGATAACATACCATGCTTCAGAGGGTAAGAAAAATTAGATTAACTAATAATATCATTTTCTTTTATCACTCCTACCTATCCTTGAGAAAAACGCTCTGCTAGCTCAGGCATACATGATTCTGTGTTTCACTTGCATATCGTCTCTGTCCAAAGAAAAACGGGTATCTCCAAAATAGGAACTTTACAGGAGAGGGCAAAAACACACTTATGTTTCAATGTAAGTTAATGTAAAGAGATTTTATGTCAAGTGATTTTAGAGCATTTCTATTGGTCCATTCATCATAAAATAAAAATTGACAAAAATGGAGATACTTGGTTTTCTTTGGACAGCAGCGATATACTCCATGATACAGAAGGAAAAGGTGTTAGGATTTTGATTCACATAGACTTTAAAGATACACAAAGCAATTGTTTTATGATTTGCTTTCAAAAACAACTCAAGGACAACTGCCACAAAGGAAAACCTGAAATAGCATGAGAGTGCAACCTTGAGAAGAGCCAAAACTCAAAAGTAGAGCCCATCCTTTTCTGAAAAATTTAAATACATTAGGATGATGGGGTAGAGTGATCTTTGAGACAAGCCAGAAACCAATATTAAAAGTTTGGTAAAGGTCTAGGAAGAGATTTTGAGTGTGCAGCACTGAATACAGGATGTATAATGAACACATGGCAGGTTAGGAGATTACAACTTACCATGTGTTCTTCTTCAGGGAAGCGACAGCAGTTCATTAAATTAAATGAAGAGGTCCAAAAACAGACACAGCAGGACCACAGTAGGGTTACCACAGCATCAGACAAGACATCAGTGCAGTGGTGCTGGGTTGGACCAGGCAGAAGCAGGACCACACATACAGCTGAAAAGTAAGAAAGAAATCAAAGATATTGTTACATCTAATACCTAAAAAGAGAGAACCAGAAGGTAGTACTTGGTAATGTGGAAAAACATTATGTTAAATATAAGTTTGTAGTCATTGCAGCCTTGTAGGGTAAATATATATATATATATATATATATATATATATATATATATATATATATATATATATATATATATATATAAAATTTGTAGTTGATTTATTATATAAAACCTTATTCCATCTCCTCAATATGATAATTTTGTACCAAATTATCACAAGGAGAAAAGACACAGTGTGTCAGAAAAAGAAAAGACAAATCATCTAATATGTGATGTTAACAGGTATGTAAAGATGCTTGATTTTAAATTTGACATCTCATTAATCTACACTTTTGACTATTTGTTCTTTTTTCCTTCATGTCAACAGAGTAGCTCCAGCAGTGTATCAGATGACTTAGTGACACCTAGTGGCAGATTTATCGCTATGATCTCTCTGATCTATATAAGATCATGAAAAAGTCAATGCACCTTAAAGTCTCTGAGGGTTTAAGTATGCTGACATTCACATAGCCCTTGACAATCAGATACTGAGAATTACCGCAAGCATCTTCTTTTCATTTGGCTTTTGCTGCTCACTAGTATTATTATTATTTTTATTCTGTTTTTAATTTTCCAAAGGGACAATGAGGCATTCTAATGCATCAAAGCAAATAATTTATCATCGGATCTCCATTTCTATGTCTGAGGCTTGTGTTTGTCCTGGATATGCATATTCAACAAAATACGATTTCTCCACAAATGCTTTGTTAAAATGCAGAAAAAACAAACACCAGCATGTGCTTCTTACATAACAAAAAGGGTGATTTTCTCAAACTTTCAAAGTGTAATCAATATGTGTTCATAACCAAAAAGTTCTATTGTCCCTGTTACAGTGTTCCAGTAGTGTTTATGTCTGTGATTTGATGGTTTATTTTATCATTCTTGAAGATGGAGCTCTTAACAGGCATCTAGACAACTAGATTGTTTCTGCCTAAACAATCCAACCTCACTGGGGCAAAATAAACATGTATTCCAGGGACATTGAGCATATCTTCAAATTTAATTTCTTACTTATTGTCCTAATAATCTAGCCTGTATGGAAATGTATGCATGTTACTCTTATAGTTTATATATCGGTTGTGCAGCTACAGTATGTGGCACTGATGTTTTTCGTTCATATACGTGTCCAGATTATGCCTGCTTCAATTCATATACCAATATGGTTCTTTTACAAATGATTAAATGATGATAATGTATTGGGTTTAGAAACACGTATAGAAGAAAAAGAGAAACACATTCACTTTAAGCTTTTCACCCTGCTGCCTAAACAAACACTTTGAAGGACTGTAAAACTGCTTTTTGACAGTGTTGTGACAGGGCATCGCTGAGGTTACTGTTAATCTTAGAAACAACAATATGTACAACTTTACCCTACACTGCCTGTATGAATTCTGTACACACACTGAGGCTTTATTGCTCATATGAATGCAATTCATTCCTTCTTATGCTTGAAACAATCTACGTTGTTTTACAAAATGTGCAAAGAGCAGCAATTTGTAATTTCCTCTTAAAATGTTCATTCAAGGCACCACATATATAGTGACAGTAAGTCATTATCATTTTACCTGGTTAGGACCTGGTTAGCAGTGTTCCGAATTTATACTGCTTTGCCTAGAAAATGCAGTTTTCATGACATTTTATTTTGCCATGATACAGTAGCTCTCACAGCACAATGTGAAACAGCCATTTGCGAGTGCTGATATCAGATGTAGCAGTGCCTCTGTTCTATGTAATCTTTGTTTAGAAGAGGTGTGAGAAGGCTGGAGAACCACAA